AGAGGAGGATTGGCATGGATGTTAGCTCAGGGCTGATCTTCCTCACAAAAAAAAAAAAAAAGAGTTTCTAGAAATAAGGTCATCCCCCCTTCTTCCTGGTACAGAGAGGGAGATAACTTTACAAATGGAGATTTCCCTTATAAATGTAAATGTCTCTTACAAAGAATAACTTCTACTTTTACTTGGAATGGGCTTAGCAAGGACCCTCTCAGTCTATCCATACCCAGAGTTAAATTCTTTTAGGCAGTTAGTGGGGTGGGGTGGGGGGTGGGGTCAAAGTTTCTTTCAGAGAAAATAATCAAGGTAAACATATTTTAAGGTGGCCAATTCGGATCCCCCACAAAACTGACCTTTTCATTCCTCACTACAATGCTCACCCTAAACTTGCTTTCCTTCTTGTGTTTCACATGTCAGCAAATAATACCACCATCTATCCAGATAAGCTTGATGCTCTCTCCCTCACTTCCTCCTCCCTCTACTCTCCAACTTCCCATCATTCATTTCTAATTAATCACAAGTCCTGTCAATCCTATCTCCAAAGATATATTTTCAATCTGACAACTTTGTCTACCCTATCGTACTATCACACTTCAGATCAACACTGTCTCCTTACACATTTGCCTGATATTTAAAAAGTAAACCCAGACAAGTCACCCTCTGGCTTAAAACATTTTGAAACCGGCAAACAGTTAGCCATTGATGATTAAGTAGCTAGGAACTAAAGTTGTTTTTCCTTTTTGCAATTACTGGTTATAGCTTTTAGCTGTTCACCCGCCCATTGTTAACTGGGCTCTTTAGGCAATATGCTATCTGACTCCCACTAGGTTCCTATAGATGACATCTCCCTGGAGCCTGGGTCACCATGGTATGGGTGTTTGAGCTGTTTTTCAGGAATTAGGACTCCCTTGTCCACTTCAGGCCGGTTAAGACCACCAGCCTGTCAACTGGGCCTGTGCAGATGTCCAATAAACGACCTTTTGACAACAAGAGGCTAAAAACTGCATCCTGGGGTCATGCCAACGCGGCCACTTTGTGAGCATTCATCCTATGAAGAGGCATGAAGTCTGACTACACTTGCACACACCATTGATTACCTCATCTCTCCTCACCTCTAATCATCTATCTCCACATTTCAGACCACCTTACCCCTTACCCCATAAGTATCCCTGAGTCCCCATTATCAGGGAGGCAGATTTGAGACTTGTTCTCCTGTTTTCCTCACTTGGCTGCCTTATGATTAAACTCTCTCTCTGCTGCAATCTTGTCATCTCAGTGTTTGGCTTTCTGGGCAACAGGCAAAAACGAACCTGGGTGGGTAACAATTTCAGTGTCTTCTCATTATGCTTAGAAAAAATATCTACAAGGTCTGAGTCTGCTGATCTCTCTGATCTCATGTCACACCACACTTCTTGCTGGCTCCTCTGCAGTCACTGGCGTTCTTTCTCTTCCTTTCACGAATAGTATCTTCCTGGACAGGAATCTTCTCCTGGCATCTTCTCACTCTTCAAATCTCAGCTCAGATCTCATTTCCTCTGAAAGTTCTTCCCTGAGCACCATATCTAAAGTAGGGTCCCTGGTTATGCTTCCTGACACCATTCCATGTATTCTTTTTATACCATTTCTCAAATTGTTAAATTTATTGTCTATTTGTTTTATTCCCAGTAAAATCCATATGGGTCGGTGGAAACCATACTTATTTTAAGTACTTACTATAAGTACTTTTAGGGCCTAGCACTTCCTAGTAGTTTGAAAAAATATTTCTTGAATATTGAATGAATGAATGATTGCTCCTTTCCTCAGTACATTTTCCACACTGAACCAGAGTTATCTCTCTAGAGCACAAGCTGGGTCTGTCCCTCTCTCTTCTAAAATCCTCATGATTTTCCATTACCCTAGGACATAACCCTTCAAATTCCAGCTTCTGCTGGCCTTTCATTCTTCTCATCACCCCAAATTCTTTTTATTCAATCTGATATACCCATGCTATCAGCAGTCCCATAAACCCCAGCTATCCTCTAGGCCTCAGTTTTCTCTGTTTCCTTCTACTTTAGTAAGACCATTCTTCTCTTTCCCTTTACCAGCCAGTCTAGATTTTTCTGAAAGGTCTCACTTTTGACATTTACGACTGCACTCAGCCTTCCTTGACTCCTAGGTATGGGTCTCTTCCTGTGGGCTCCCCAAGCTGTCTTTACCCACTGCTAAATAGTAGCTGCCAAAGATTTCCAGATCCTAATCCATGGAACCTGTGAATATTACCTTATATAACAAAAGAGGCTTTGCAGATATGATTAAGTTAAGGATCTTGAGATGGGGAGATTATCCTGGATTTTTGGAGAAGGCCTTAAATGTAATCACAGTGTCGTTAGGGGGAGAGGGAAAAGAAAGAAAGCATGTGACCATGGAAGCAGGGAGAGATTTGGAGATGCTATGCTGCTAGCTTTAAAATGGAGGCAGGAGCCACCAGCCAAGGAATGCAAAGAATGCAGCTCTAGAAGCTGGAAAAAGCAAGGAAACAGATTTTCCCTTCAGAACATCCAGAAGGAACCAGTTCTGCCGATACCTTGACTTTAGCCTTGTGAAACTGATTTTGGACTTCTAGCCTCCAGAACTGGAAGAGAATAAATTTGCATTGTTATAGCAGCAAAAGGGAACTAATAAACCCACCCCTGTCACTGTTTTAGCTCCCTTTATTGCAATTGCCTGGCCCTTGGTCTGTATTCCCAACTAAACTGAAAACTCTTTGAGGACAAGCATTATGTCTTATTCACAATGACTTTTAATGAGCCTAGCAGAATGCCTGACACAAATGTGCTGAATTGGTATTTCTTGAATATTGTTAAATAATTATGGCATATGTTCATAATAGAATATTAGCTATCATTAACATGAAACTATAGAAAAATATCTAATGTCATTACAAAATGAAAATGTATTTAGTGAAAATTGTGTTTCCTAAAAATATATATACTATGACTCAAAATTTATAAATTATGTATGTATTATGTATAGAATAGTCATAAAGATTAATAACAATGATGTCTAGGTGTTGGGATTATGATTATTTTATTTTAACCATCTAAACTATCTGTAATTAAATTTGTTTCTGCAATAAACAAATATTTATTTTGTAATAAAAAATATGATGCTTTAAGAAGAAAGATCTCTAATGATATTTAAGCTGACCATGAGTTAATAACACAGTATTGCTATTCAAAGGTAAAATCTTGCACAGGATATGAAATTAGGAGCATACTGTATGTTCAAACCCAAAATAGTATTACTCATTAGACAATAGTGCTAATTAAATGTCCATGTATTCAGGTATCAGGAAATCTTTTCTGGACAATATTACACATTCCTTAGTTCTGTAATCAAAAGAGATGACTACGCATTGCTATATAAGCACAGCATGGTGAAAATGTGCAGATGTTGGAAAATTCAGACCAAAATTACTATGCAGAAAAATCGAGCCAAATAAATACAAGATTTTGATGTGAAGTGGCATTGCTAGTATTATTTCTTAAGAGATATTGAGTGCCTGTTATTTATGACTAGGTCCTGTAGTTTCAGTGGTAATAAGTTAGAGGTGGCATCTCTGTCCTTAGAGAGCTTACATTACAGTGGGGCAAATAGACAATAAACAAAATAAATATATTAAATAATTACAGATTGTTATTAGAGCTTTGATGACCACAAATAAGGAATAATAGTGACTAACAGAGGGGACTTACACTAGAGTAATTAATAAAGAGCTGTCATTGAAATTGAATCCTAAATGAGAAGCAGGAACCAGCCTTCCTAGGATATGATCCTTTAGTCTGAGAGAACAAGAAATGCGAAATCTCTGAGATGGAAAAAGTGTAGCTTTTTCTGAGCAATGGAAAGGAGAGGGGCCGGCCCCGTGGCTTAGCGGTTAAGTGCGCACGCTCTGCTACTGGCGGCCTGGGTTGGGATCCCGGGCGCGCACCGACGCACCGCTTGTCAGGCCATGCTGAGGCCACGTCCCACATTCAGCAACTAGAAGGATGTGCAACTATGACATACAACTATATACTGGGGCCTTGGGGAGAAAAAGGGAAAAAAAAGGAGGAGGATTGACAATGGATGTTAGCTCAGGGCCGGTCTTCCTCAGCAAAAAGAGGAGGATTAGCATGGATGTTAGCTCAGGGCTGATCTTCCTCAAAAAAAAAAAAAAAAAAAAGGAGAACAGTGCAACTAAACAGTAAACAGGATGGGTTAGGGAAGAGCAAGATCACACAAGGCTTTACAGGCCACAGGAAAGAGTGTGTGTGTATAATCCCAAGTGCAAAAAGAACATTATGGAGGGTTTTTAGAAGAGTAGTCATGTGATGATTTGAATTTTTTTAAATCATATAGGCTACCACATGCAAATATGGGTTTCAGGGACTCAAGAGTAAAGGCAGGAAGACCAGTTAAGAGGCAATTACAATACAACAGTCCTGGTGGGAGACTGTGTGACTTGGACAAGTGTCTTGGCAGTGGAGATGGAGAGAAGTGGCAAAGTCAAGATATATTTTGGAGAAAGAACAAGCAGACTTGCTTACATATTGGCTATGGAAATATGGGGATGGGGAGGAAAGAAGGGTCAAGATTTTTAGCTTTAAAATGTAGTTGAATAATATTATCACTTTCTGATATAGAAAAAACTGAGAACAACCAGGTTTGGGATGAAAAATACCAAGAGTTCAGTTTGGGGTGCTTTAAGTTAAGATTGCAATGAGAAATCTAAAATATCAAGCACTAGTCTGTGATCAGAAAACTATGAACTGGATAAATAAATGTGGGAGTCATCAATATATAGATAGTATATAGATATAACTTAAAATCATGAAAATTGATGAGATTATCAGGAACAAGAAAAGAGAAGACTGGATAAATAAAACTTGACTGAAATACTGTAAATAGATGGTAAGTATCCAAAGCATAATAAATGGAAGAACCTTAAAAATACTTGTTAGTAATGATTCTGGAACTATATCAAGAAATTTAAAAAGTAGAATAACGTTATTTCCAACATTACTCTTCATAAGAAAAAAAATCTATGTAAATAAGGAGGAGATATTCATTTCCAGTGAGAAAAAAAGAGACCAATTTTGAAAAGATCGATTTTTTTTTTCAGTTCTCTTTCAAATACTTTGCATGGTCATGGGTTATGAGCAATGAATGAACACACCCTTAAGGAGATAATTTAACAATTCTGCCAAAGGAAGATCAAGTAGACACAGTAGTTTCGTCATGGTGAAAAAGGATCAATGCCTATTATTTCTAACACTTTCAGATGAACTCTTTAAGAATTAGTATCTCTTTAGCAGCACTGAGAAAGAAATCTCTTCAACTGAAGTTATTTAAAGAGCTTCCCTCTTTTATCTTGTGCATATGTAACATAGTCATTAGGGAACAGAAGTAGTCCACTTCAGAGTAAAATGCCCTTGAGCAATAATAGCCATATTTAGCAGCCAGTAAAGGAGCTTGGCTTTTAGAAGTCAAAGCAGTAGGACTAAGACTGAGCTGAAGCTCCAGAAAGGAGACAAGGAAGTCAGTGCAGTCTGTCAGGTGAGGAAAGGAGATTTCGATTTCTAAGGAAATAATCTGGCAAGTGCTCTTCTCTACACTGGTAAGAGCCTTCCCTAACTAAAACAGTCCCATGGGGAAAAATCATATGTTCTTTCTTCCTTTCTTATTTCCTGTCCCAAACTGCAACCGCTCTCTCTCACCCCTTCTCCTAAGTATAAATGCAAGATTCCACATGCTCTGCTTTATTAAGACAATATGGAGCAGCAGGACACAATGCTCTGGGCTTTCCTACAACGTCATGGGCAGAACCTGTGTTTTTCTCAGGTCAAGCCTGAGAAGACAACTCCACTTCAGTTAATTGGAGAACTTTCCTACTGACACAAGACTGCTATCTGATTCTGCTAATGGCATTCTCAAACAAGAAGGGGCACAGGGTGGGTGGGTTGGGGGTGGGGGCAGGCCTGGATTTTCCCCAGGAAAAGGAAGTTTGACTATTTCTATCAGTTACCAGTCACAGCAACAGAACTCTTCGATTGTTTGAACAGAAAGAAAAGTACAAGGGGTTATACCTTGTTTTTCTGGAATTTCTAATAGCTTTTCTTAAAAACCAAGTGGCATATCTAATGTATTTGCTCTGTGAAGCTTTCATTTATCTTTTAAATACATGATTCTTTACTGATTTATGATGTGGTTAGAGTGAGAGCGTGGCTTAAATGACTAGATGTTCTGATTGTTCAGAAAGGAAATAAATGGATTAGATGGACTATGGATTTATTTTCCTGCTCTTTACCAATCAGAAATTAAGTTCCATCCTGGGGACCTTGTGTTCTTATATAATTTATTAAGATAAAACCTAGTAACCTCATGCTCTGACTTTTCCTATAGTACCACAGGAGAACCTGTGCTTTGAATAGACTATCAAACTTTAATTTGTCTCTCTCTTTTTTTCCCCCACATATTTATCGTTTTGTTTTTTGGTGAGAACATTTAAGCTCTACTCTCTCAGCAAATTTCAACTATACAACACAGTGTTAGCACTGTGGGAGATCAAGATTTGGCCACCCTGAGATATATCTCTTTACCTTGATTGTTTTCTCTGAGGGACATTTGACCTGCCCCACTAACTGCCTAAAGAATTTGACATGGTGGCTCCTTCCTGGAACAGATCTTCTATCATGATGGCTGTAAAGATAATGTGGGATAGAGGTTACAATAGGAAAGGCACCAAGCCTCTTTTATCAAAAACTCTGTCTCTCCCTGACCACATTAACTATAGATGACCCTGAAAAGAATTGTCTTCCTGCCTTCTGAAGTCCCAGGCCACTACCCGCCCCCAACACGCTCCTCGCCTTTAGCTGCAATACTTAAGCAAGCAGCTTAGACAGAGGGACGAGTTGCTCATTTCTGAGTTTCTCCCATGTATACATGTTATTAAACTTGGTATTATTTTCTCCTGCTAACCTGTCTTGTTGATTATTTGGCCAGCCATAAGAACCTTAAGGGAAAGGGCAGAGAGGGATTCCTCCTCTTCCCCCAACAGCACCTATAATCATCATGTTATATATTAGATGCTCAGACCTTATTCATTTTCTAGCTGAAAATTTGCACCCTTTTACCAACCTCTTCCTATATCCTCACCCCCTAGCTCCTGGCAACCACTTTTCTACCCTCTGTTTCTATGAGTTTGACATTTTTTTTTAGATTCCACATATGAGTATTTGTACCACGAATACCATGCAGTATTTGTCTTCTCTGTCTGGCTTAATTCACTTAGCATAATGCCCTCCAGGTTCATCCATTGTTGCAAATGACAGGATTTCCTTCTTTATCATGGCTGAATAATATTCCATTGTTTATACTTACCACATCTTCTTTATCTATTCATCCACTGAGGGACACTTAGGTTATTTCCATATCGTGGCTGTTGTGAATAAATTTTTCTATAAATAAAATAGAATAAGAACTATGCCATTTTCTGTATCATTTCTATACTGTTTTTATACAGTTTTGAAAATAATTTTACTGCCATGACTTGCTTCCCATTATCTTTCAGTTCAATGAGTTTTCAGTGATTCATATGGCATGTCTGGTCTGGATGAAAGCACTTTAGAGTCTAATTCATACAGAATTTTTTTCAAGGACTCAGAGAATACTTTTCATATGTTTGCTTCCAGAAAAACTCGGATTTTCTCATAATTATGCTTCAATTAAATGAAAAGTATTTATAATTTTATTTATTTATTTACTTTTCCCCAAAGCCCCAGTAGATAGTTGTACATCATAGCTGCACAGCCGTCTAGTTGCTGTATGTGGGAGGCGGCCTCAGCATGGCCGGAGAAGCAGTGCATCGCTGCGCGCCCAGGATCCAAACCCGGGCCTCCAGCAGCGGAGCGTGCGCACTTCACCGCTAGGCCATGGGGCTGGCCCCTAAATGAAAAGAATTTAAAAATGTTTCCTTAAATATTCTTTGAACTTCAGAAATAATAAAATATTTAGTGTGTTAATATGGAAGAAATGCAACATCAATGAATGAATTGTAGTGAATAATAGTACCTTTGAAGGGAAAATTTTCTTTCCAATGTAGCTATTAAATGCCCTACAATTCCTAGCAAAAGCCAACTTATCCTTTGAGATTATAAAAGTTTTTCACTGGAAAACAGTGCAGAAACTCCCAGTGGATTAGCAGAGGGAGAAAGGATTTAAAAGTAGTGGCTTAGCTGACTTTCTGGGCACATTCTGCTAAGAAAACAAACACTAATTGTCTCAGATAGCATCATCCACATTGTTAGATTTCTTGGCTTGCCGGTGTACCCTTTCGCTAACAAGGAATGTAACAGTGAAATTTACTATTCATCCATTCTAGAAATCACTAGTGAACACTGACCATACGTCAGAGAGTAGAGATGCAATGAAAAAGATAAAATCCCTGTCCTCACGGGATTTATATTCTAGTGGAAGAGGAAGATAATACACAAACAAGAAAGAATTACACACATTTAAGTGAATAAGATCCTATTGGATAGTGATTATTGTTGTGAAGAAAACAAAGAAGGATAGTGGGTTTCAGAGGGAATAAGGAGAAGGACCTACTTTAGATAAAAAATGGTTAGGGTACTTTTTATTTTTTTTTATTATTTATTTTTTTTGTGAGGAAGATTAGCCCTGAGCTAACATCTGTCACCAGTCCTCTTCTTTTTTTTTTTTTTTTTTT